TTGCGCCAATCAAGGGTCCCATCTCCAAGGTAACGGGCACACTTCACAGCCCTGTGAACAGATGGTCAGTGAGCAACAGGCAGCATATGTTCCCGTGAATCCTGACACAGGCACAGATGGAGGGTGGGCAGGAGGTGGGCCTGGGACATAACCTGACATTTCCTTGTCTCCCTTCTCATTGGGGTGCATTGTCAGAGGGCACTGCTTTATGGCTACCAACACCCCAGTGCCACGTCAGTCTTGCTTAGCCAGGGACCACATCGTAGCCACAGGAGCTACCCGGCCTCATTTAGCAGCTGTTGCCTGGCCTGTCTGCATTGTCAGCTTCCAGTTTATGTGGCTGCTTACAGCAGAAACTACACTTTCCTTTGTGAACGGGATCAAGGGAAAATTGATGGTGCATGAGAGGTGGCCAGGGCTTAGAGGTTGGAAATGTGTTTTCATGCTTGCTGAGGACTGGCTAGTGTGACACGGTGACCTCAGTTTCCCGTGCCTCAGGTATTCTCTGCATCTGGCTGACCTCCGCAATGGCCGAACGAGATGTTAAATATTGCTTCCCACCATCTTGGACATGGGATGTGTTCAGAGGTCTTCGTAAAGAATGAACAATACATCATCATTATAGGGCTATCTTAAACTGGCTGTGCTCTACCGAGCCCCCCAAGGATACCTTTCTAAGTTCCCACAACTACCAGCCAGCCAGCTCCAAGAAGGCCCAAGCCTCAGGGACACTGGGCCAAGAGTCTCTGGATCCACCAGGTTGGGTGAAGGATTGGGCATGGGTCTCAGCAGCCACTAGAGGCCGACTCGCAAGCCTGTTTGTAACACTGACTGGATTCATGAATTCTCTGCTCTTCTGAAACCACACCTGCCTGACTGGTTCTCTAGTGACCCTGCTATATTAAATACTGTTGCAGTAATGAAACACCATTACCAAAAGCATCTTGGGAGGAAAGGATTTATTTAGCTTCCATGTTCTTAATCACAGTTCATTGAGGGAAGCCAAAACAGGACACAAACCAGATATGTACCCAAGCAGTAGATGATATAGGAGCTAGGGAGGAATGCTACTTCCTGGCTTGTTCAGCCTGCTTTCTTATAGAATCCAGGACCACCAGCCCAGGAGTGGCCCCACCCACACCAGTCACTAGCTACAGGCTTACCTACAGTCAGATCTTATAGAGGCATTTTCTCAGTTGAGGTTCCTACCTCTCTGATGACTCTAGCTTGTGTCAAGCTGACGTAAAAAAAACTGGCAATACCCACTGTCTTCTGCTCACTGTAGCAGTCTCTGCAGGAGGTTGCTTGAGCAGGCCTGATAACCTGTTAATATGCCTTCAAGTTTCTACTTCTTAACATGCAGAACAAAACGCTCGCCTGAAGACGTTATCAGGAGGTAGATGGGACGCTCAACAGTTCTTTCCATGCAGATCATGTGAAAAGAGGGACTGCAGGGACAAACTTAAGTCGGTCGCTTGGCAGGGGTGTGTGCTGAGACAAGTACAGCAGGGACAACATTTCTGTATCAGTTAAGATGACCCCCCCCCAACACCAGTATTGGGGATTGATTTTAGGGGCTTGGGCAAGCTAGGCAAGTACTCTGCCACTAAGCCCTCTTTCTACTTTTTGAAAAATCGTTTCCCTAAGTTCCCCAGGCTGGCCTTGAACTCCCTCCAGGGCCCAGGCAGACCTTGAACTTGCAATCCTGCTTCAGTCCTCTGATTACAATTACAGGTCTGTGCCACCAGGCCCATATACATATATTACATATGTATATACATATGTACATACATATATACATATGTGTGTATATATATACATACACACACATACATACATTTTTAAAATTAATTTTTGAGGCCTTGCGGCATAGGCTGGCCTTGAATTCACAGCAATTCTCCTACCTCAGACTCTCAAATTGCAGTTATAGGCATGGTCCATCATACCTGGCTTTCTTCTTTTTAATGGAGGCTTCATAGCTATAAATTTCCTCAGCACCACTATTATTGCATTAAGTTTTGTTCAATTGTGTTTTTATTTTCATCCATCTCTACTTCCCATTGTCTAGCTGTTGCCATATTTTCGTGAAATTTCCAGTTTTCCTTATGTTACTAGTTTATAGCTTCATTTCTTTATGATTGGAGAACATACTGTGCACATGTAGCTTTTGAATCTATTAAGACTCCTTTTATGCTGGAGAGATGGCTCATTGGTTAAGAACTCTGTCTGCCTTTCCAGAGGACCTGGGTTCGATTCCCAGCATCTACATGGCTGTTTAAAAACGTCTGTAACTCCAGTCCCAGGGGACCTGATGCCCTCTTCTGGTCTTTGCATTTGCCTTTCAAAGCATATAGAAAAAGCAGATTGCAAATCAAAATTACAATAAATTTAGCTTTTTAACTTCCCATGCAATTACCTCTACTGGAGGTCTATACTTCTTCATTTGGTTTTGTTGGTCTGGCCTCTTTTCATTTCAATCTGAAGGACTTTCTTTTGCATTTCTTTCTTTAAAGACTTTAAGCTGAGCGAGGTGCAGTGAGTCATGCCTGTAATCCCAGCACTCAGGAAGGCAGAGGCAGGCAGATCTCTGTGAGTTCGAGGCCAGCCTGGTCTACAAAGTGAGTCCAGGACAGCTGCGGCTACACAGAAAAACCCTGTCTTAAACAAAACAAAACAGCTGTTTACCATTTTTTTTCGAGACAGGGTTTCTTTGTGTAATAGGCCTGGCTGTCCTAGACTCTCTTTGTAGACAAGGCTGGCCTTGAACTCATAGAGATCAGCCTGCCTCTGCCTCCTGAGTGCTGGGATTAAAGGCGTGCACCACCACTGCCGGACTACCATTTATTATGTGTTTGTATGTGTGCCTATGTGGGGATCTGAAGACAGCTCCTCTTTGCAGCTGTCCTCTCCTTCCCGTGTGGGTGCTGGGATCTGACTTAAGTCTTCAGGCTTGCAGCAGGTGCTTTTGCCTGCTGAGCTGATTCATTGGCTTTCTTTTTGCTTTTCCTACAAGGCAAGTATAATGGTAAATGAATCTCTTTAGCGTATGCTAATTGGGAATACCCTAACCTCGTCCTTATTTTAGGAAGATAGGTTTTCCTGATAAAGAATTCCCATTTGACAAGTGTTCTTTTGCATTGATTTTTAAAAGCTATTTTATGTATATATGCCTGCTTGTCTGCGCACCACAGACATGAAGTACTCATGTGCCTGCTTGTCTATGCACCACAGACATGAAGTACCCATGGAGACCAGAGGCGGCGCTGGATCCTCTTAGTACTGACATTATAGGCAGTTATAAGAAACCTACATAGGTGTAGACTGCTAAGCCATCTCTGCAGTATTCTGCATTTTGAAAAAAAAAAAAAAAAAAGTCAAGTCTCATTTTTTCATACAGTTTTTAGTAGAAGTTAGTATTGTGCCTTCCTTTAGAGTTGTAAGCATCTTTAAGATCCGAAGTCTTGTCCAATGACTGACAGTTTGTTTATCTGGCTTTTGAATACACTACATTTCCCTGATTTTTTGTATTTTGTGACTATTGATGGAAGTTTAAAATGTTGAGTCTTGGGGCTGGAGAGATGGCTCAGTGATTAAGAGCACTGGCCGTTCTTCCAGAGGTCCTGAGTTCAATTGCCAGCAACCACATGGTGGCTCACAACCATCTATAATGGGATCTGTTGCCCTCTTCTTGCATGCAGTGTACATGCAGACAGAACACTCATATACATAAAATACATTTTCTAAAAAAGTTGACTCCTCTGGAATCTGAGAATCAGCACTTCTGTAGCATCCTGATTTGTCTTCTGTGACATCACTCCCTCCAATGAGTTTTTAAATGTAGTACCTTTATTAGTCTTTCTAAAACAAATTTCCAAGTTGTTTTCTCAATAAATATCTTAGAATGGCAAGTTAATTGCTACTGGCATTGTCTTGCTTTTCTCTTTTTGCTGTGATTTATGTTATTTTCTTATATGTAGAAAACATGATTTTAATAAATTATCTTTTTATTATTTTGACTGAGGTTTACTTTGGGGCCTAGTTCATAGTTAGGTCTTAAAAACTGTCCACATGTGTTCAAAAAGAATATAAACCAAAAGACATTTACTGCTCTGTTTCTTTTAGAACAAGCTTATTAACTTGTTCAAATATATGTCATTATTTTTGTTATACTTGAACTATTTGTTCCTAAATAAACATGTTATACTGTTTACCTTCGCATTTTACTTGATTCCAGCACAGAATGTAAGCGGCTTTCCTTTTTACTTTTTTTTCCTAGTGCATATCACATTTTACATTTTAGCATATAGTTCTAAAAATAATGACAGATAATGAAAATATTGTTTTCTAAGCAAGAAAAGGAAATACTCCTTTTCATCCCACCCAGAGCTACTAATCGCTTTCCTTGTACCAATCCGGAGTGGTGGCCCGCCTGTTTTGTTGGCTTACTTGTTTTCAGTTCAAAACTGCCTAGTGATACCTATACATTTCGCTGATGTCTTTGCCCAACCCTGCTTCACACAGTCTCTGCGTTCCCTGGGGGAGCCTTCATTCTACCACAGTACACCCGTTTCCTCTTAGAAAGGATATATGGGTCAAATTTTTGATTCCTAAAAATGTGTTTACTTTTTCCTACTCTATGAATACTGACTACAGGATTCTGGGCTAAATATTATTTTTCAATGAAGAAAAAGGAAGATATGGCATGCCTCCCTAAAAAGGTAACAGAAGGCTATATGCAAAAGGAGAATATGATTTAGGCCTTAGGGCTCACAGGGCTGTCTGGGTAATAGAATAGGACTTTGTCTAAAAAAGAAGTGAAGCATGAGTTTTAAAATGTGTTTTGTTTTTGTTTTTGTTTTTAAATTTTAAGTTGAAATGTGGAAATTCTATCACAAGATTTGACTGGAAAACAACATAAGCAATATTCTCACTGGAAGAGCTCCACACACTAGATGTTTAAATGTGGTAAACATTCCACCAACACAATGGATTATTTAAGCTTATGACTGACACATACATTTTATTGACAAGTCAGAATGGAGATTCTGTGACAGAAAAAAACTTTCATAGAAATATACTTTCAATCTAAGAGATCAGAATCTTAATTCAAAGTTGCACAGCCAAGTAAACAAAGTAAACAGCCAAGAAACAGGACTTCTAAAGGAAGCAATGTTTGAAAGTAGCAAATGAAGAATGAAAAGGACAGGAAATGAATATTAGAGTGAAAGCCAGCTCCAAATCTAGGCAGCAAAGTCTGGGCTACAAGCTCTGCCTATGCACTATGCAGAAGTCCTTCAGGAGCAGAATGAAGCTGAACAAATACAACTGTTTCCACATGTGGGAGATAAATATACCTTTCTTATAAATACAAGAATTTCAAGGAGAAACCCCAGAGTCCCACACAGCACATCCGAGTCAGTGGTCTGGGTAACTGTCAGTGTAAAGGTGGAAACGAGCATTTCTAGAAGCTTACTGAAATCTTAAAGACAGCAGCACTGGAAGGGTACATTTTCCAGTGACCAGAAGTACGTGCATCTCCCCAGAGATCACCATGAGGGCTCCGGGCAGGCACAGCTGCTCTCATGTTCCCCGTGGAGATGATAATAACCTCACAGTTTAAAGAGGCTTGTACTTCAAAGTTTAACCCAGCATGTTTCTTTAAAAACCATATTTTACTTAATTATTTCATCTTTATGGGTGTTTTGCCTCTGTGTATTGTACATGACTCATTGGTGTGTCTGATGCCCACAGTGGCCAGAAGAGGTTTTAGATCCCCTGGAACTGTAGTTACAGAGAGTTATAAGCCATCATGTGGGTGCTGGGAATAACACCTTGGTTCTCTGGAAGAGCAGCCACTATTATTCCGAGCCATTTTTCTTCCAAGCAGAACCAACTCTCACACAAGAAAGCAAGAATTTAGTTGTTCTTTTTTTTTTTTTTTTCCTATCCAAACACTTTTGTAAGTCAAGAGAAAAAAATAGTTGAACACTTACTTCTGTTAGTGTTAGAACTTCTAATTAAAAAGGAATTTCTGACAGATTGTATAGCTATTAGATACCATGTGTGGTAGTTTGAATGAGAATGACCCCATAGGGTCAAAGAATGTTTGGTCTCCAGTTGGTGGAAAAGATTAGAAGGTGTGGTCTTGCTGGTGGAGGTGTGTCACTGGGGGTGGGCTTTGAAGTTTCAAAACCCCAAGCCATTCCCAATTAGATAGTCCTCCTTATCCTGCCTGCGGTCATGTGCCCCAACATGGTAGACATGGGCTCTACTACCCTCTGGAACCTGAAGTCCCAAATTAATGCTTTCTTCCACAAGTTGCTTTGGTCATGGTGCCTATGCCCAGTAATAGAAAAATAACTAAGATTTCAAAGAGAGCATTTATGATGGTAGCGATGAGTTCCCAGTCATGAGTCAGGAACAACTCTGAAACAAACTGATGGAAACTATTTACAATATATGTGGGAGAAACCTCTGAAAAGTATTTTTCCTTCCTTTAAAGTGTGGTCCCAGTTGCCATCTCCTTGATGATGAGACTGGGTGACATCACTTCTTGGGAGGAGGGCAGGGTCTGGGTGCTGCATCCTCTTTCCATACTCTTCTGGAAGAAGCAAACATGTCTTGAATTAGGTTGGTGGATCCTGTCGGGAAGCGGGCACATGGGACAAATTAACCACTTGGCCTTCAGCTATAAAGACAGAACATCTACTGAGTCCTTAGGATGCTGGTGAGGGCTTTACCTGTATGACACCTAGTATCTTCTCCACTGGTCATGCTCATACTGTCTGCTTCCTGTACCAAACAGAAATAAACACTAACATAAGAAGAAACATCTCCAAACACCAACTCAAAGAAGTGGCACAGTTCTATGTATGCAAAAAGACAGAATGCTGAGTTGTACTGGAAGACATAACATTTTTCAGTTGTGACCACCTGTCATTAAATTTTGCTCTATAATTATTCCATTAAAGTGGAAGCAATTAATTAGGAGGTAGTGCTAATAGTAGAAGGAACTGTCAAAATCGTTTCTCTTGGTGCCAGTTCTGGCCATCTGCAGGACATCTAGATGTTTATTACTGCTAATGACTTTGGAAATGGAAATTCATATGCAGATGGCTCTCAGAGGACTTCCTGCCAAGCACAGAAAGAGCTTTTCCAGGGCTGAGCACACAAGTGCCCCAACCCCACAGTGTAGCTGGCCACTTCCTGCCTCTGACAGACAGGGGGTGCTGGGAAGGAGCTTGGAGCAGAACTAGCCTTTAAGAAAATGGACAGTTCCCACATCTTAAAAACAGCTCTTTTTGGTTAGGTATGGTGGTATTCAGGACTAAGAGGCAGGTGGATCTCTGTGAGTTCTAGGCAGGATAATGCCACATAGTAAGATCCTATCTCAACAATAACACACTTTTCTGCAAGTCTTGCTCTTGGCTTTCTTTGGTACATGGAGCAATGGCTTTAACATGCCCTGCCTAATGGCCCCTAAAGAGTGAGGGTGATGGCTCAAACAGGTGTCCAGATTAATCGGACCTTCACCACCTCTGCTGTCGTCTCTGCTTCCACCCCTGTAGTTTCCTAGTGTGCAGGCCCCTCTCAGCCACCTTGAGAAGGGGCAAAGTGAGTAATCTCGTCTAAGTTTACAACCCTTAATGGAATTTAGCACATTTTCCCTCACCAGCTGGGCAGAGGTCAAAGCTCCCACGCTGCACCCATTTGTTTACAGTGTGACTTTGATGTTGGCTACCTGTGGGGCGGGTGCACTCCCACCCCATCTGCCAGGCCACAGTCCCCTCGGTGACCCTGAACATGTGGTGACTGCCCAAACTGAGCTGCCATTTTGAAAATAAAGCATTTTGAGTCTTTTCTAACATGAAGAATTTTGTCTATTTTTCTAATCTTGAATTAGTAATAACTTTCTACTTTACATGTTGAAGAAATAAAAAATATTAAAGGCAGGAAAAAACCCACTAGCAAAAATATGCTGACCCTAGTTGAGCGCAGTGGCAGGCGGATCGCTGTGAGTTTTTGAGGCCAGCCTGGTCTACAAAGCGAGTTGAGGACAACCAAGGCTATACAGGGAAACCCTGTGTCGGAAAAGCAAAACCAAACAATAAAAGACGTGCTGGCCCCACACAGAATCTCAGTAATTTCACTGAAAAAGGAGGTTGCCTGATCTTCAAAACAATAACAAAAAGCTCTAATTATGGACCAACTGTGCAAAGACCACATAACCGAAGAGTGTAACACAGCAGCAGTGGCCTGTGGATCTCTTCCCACGTGGACAAGGTGCCAATGAAGCGCTGTCCTTGCTCTCAAACTATCCCTGGCTGCTTCTAGACTTACCTCTAGCCATTAAACCTGACATCAGCTGAGCTAGGCCACTCAAACTGGCTTCTTTCTCAGGTCCCTACAACCTTTTCCAGCTCAACCTTTACAATCAAGACTGTGATTATGTTTCTTTTTTTTTTGGGGGGGGGAGGAGCTACAAAATTATTCATTTTTTTATTATTAGTTACATTTTTTTTATTTTATATATTAACCATAGGTTATTTACTTTGTATCCCAGCCGTAGCCCCCTCCCTCATTCCCTTCCAATCCCACCCGCCCTCCCTTATCTTCTCCCTGCCCCTTTCCAAGTCCACTAACAGGGGAGGTCCTCCTCCCCTTCCATCTGACCCTAGCTTATCAAGTCTCCTCAGGACTGGCTGCAATGTCCTCTTCTGTGTCCTAGCCAGGCTGCTCTTCCCTCGTGGGAGGGAAGGACCATGTATGGATATAACCTAGAACCCCTGTTCGGATATAGCCATGGTAGCTTAGTGTCCAAATGGGTTCTCTAATAAGGGGAACAGGGACTATTTCTGACGTGATTATGTTTCTATTATAACCCATAGCAGTAAAATAGAACTGTCCTTCAAAGTTCCAAGTCTCAAACCAGGCTCATTGTCTATGTAGAGTTTAAGCTTTAACTAATGCGTTCAGGATCGTGTTTCTGTTTCCAACTGACCAGAACAGGAGTACATGGGCTTCTCTGGTCCTAAAGTAAGTTGATACACATGCCACTTAAGACTCTCAATGTGTCAAGTTTAGTGTGGCCATGTAGGTGAAGGGTGGAAGCCAACTCCTGGAACTTTCCAGCCTGTTGGTAGCTGTAAATCAGTCAGTTGAGTAAAGAGACTTATGCTGCTTCCTATTCAATCGCCAGACCAGACTAACTGCCCAGGACCTGTGTGCCCCCAGGACTTGCACATCAGAGCTGGTGAGGACAGCCTCACACTGTTCTTTTCGGGGTCAGTAGAACTGCTTATTGCTTTTGATTATCTGGCCTTTTAAAAAATATGTATAAACAAGAGTCTTCAAGACATGTATTTCAGAAACGAAATATAAAAAAAAAATTAGTAGTTATGAGTGTGCATACCAGATTAACAACTAAAGTGCTGGAACATATGAGGAAAACATGACGCTATTCATTGAGCCCAACAAGAGAAGACCTTTATTTTTGTTGCCCTACGGAATTGAAGCACCATCCCACACTGAAGAACATACATGCACAGAGAACCAATGTAGAGCACATGATCAGGAAACATTTCTGTCCAGACCTCATTCACCATGTCTGTTTCTTTAAGCTAGGTTAGTGCAGAGTTCCCAAAAGGGATGTCAATGCTGGGCTATATATAGGACTGTGGCCCAGAATGCAGACAAAGGGCCAGGAAGTATCCACATGCAGGATGCTGGGGATGTAAGAGTCCACAGCTCAGGGAGGACCATATCCTGAAGATGCAAAAACCCCAGAAGGACAGTTTCTCTTTCCAGGCCAGGCGGCAGCTGGGACCATTGACGTGTGTAACAGAGCTGTAGACCAGCTGGGTTGAAAGACCAGGAAATGGATGACATACATACATAGAACCAGAAGAGCTGAGGCTGAAGCCCTGAGTTCTTCACTATGCTTCCAATTTCCCTTGGTAGTAGCTGCTTTTACAAACATAAACTGAAGACACCTCCAGCTAGGATAGGATTACCTGAGGAGCTGTCCTTGGGGATAACTGAAGACCAGCCTTCCAGCTCACCCACTGTATTTCCAGTCCTAGAATTCCGACTTCTGACCCATGGTTTCCTCCTCAGGTAGGCCCAGTAGGAGGTTGCCACCACTTTCTCACTAGCCTTCAGTCTTACTGTCCTAAAAGTTGTATCCACTCTACATGTGGCTAAAGCCATCTAGCCCCATATCACTGTCCACAAGGACAGTATTGCATAGGTAGGATGCATTCTGGTGCCATGAAGATAGCTGTCAGACATACAGATGCCATGATGTCTCTGGGCTATTGGGCTATTGAGTGAGGTGGGTTTTTGGGTAGACATCTCTCTAGCAGAGACCCAGGATTCACAAAGCATCTCTTCCACAAAGTCACTCCATTATTTTCATCCAAATGAGGACATGCTCACTTCTTTTAAAGAATGTGAAGAAATCAACACCTCCGTAACCAACAACAACCCAAAGAAGGATTGATTACCCCTAGCATATCTGCAACATGTCCCTGTAACCTCTGTCACCTCACTAAGGGTGAGAATAATTCAGTCTTGTGACAGTCTTCCTGTCTAGAATAGGGCTCTGTGGATACAGACAGCTCTTTTCATTAGATTTCCTTGCTTTATTTTTTTAAGCACAGAACCGGTGTGGGTTATGAGATGGTAGTCCCTGTTCTAAGAGCTGCAGGAATAGTGACTAAGGCCCAAGGCTACCCAGAGCAGACTGGCATGGGCCTGGCTCTATGGTCCCTTCCCACTTCCTTACTCACCTGGAGCAGTTATACTCAGTCACCAAGCATGAATCAAAGAATCACAGCACTGTAGAGCTGTAAGTACACAGGCTTATTGATGCCACTGCCTGACAGAGAACAAGGAGCCAGGACAGTCACCTGAGACAGTCATCAGACAGTCTGAGTGTGGAGATTTGACAACACTGGTGGTGCTCTAATGTAGCTAATGGGGGTGCTAGCCCCCCTAGAGAACTAGAACCTCTTATTATTCACAGGCGTACAGTTGAATTCTGTCCCAGCTTTGAGACTCTGGACATAGAAATGGCAAGCTAAGGAGGACAAAAAGAAGGCATCACCTTCCTCAGCAAACCAGGCAAGTAGGCCTGCTGCTGCTGGCAGGGAAAGACAGGGTGGGAAAACGGTGACTTCTGCAGAAGAACCATCAGTGGAGACCGGCTGCCTCAAAGAAGGGCTACCAGCTTTCCCTCAGCACAAGGGCAAAGGGCAAAGCCTCAAGAGCATTAGCATGACTTTCAGCCTGGTGCCTTTTGTCAGGGATTCAGGCTATGCAAACATTTCTAGGGTGGGATATGCACATGGCTGGGCCTAGGCCTGGATCCTACCTCACCCAAGTGGCTAAAGCCACAACCAGTGTCATAGCTTTACAAAGAAAACCTACAGGTTTTCATTATTTTTGGTAGCCTTTGGCCCTAAAAGATATCGACTTAGTCAAACCTCTGCCTTCCTCCTTGTCATTTTTCTGGATAAACTTTTGTCTGGGTCAGCTCAGAGTCATTGGCCAGCTGGTAGCATGGCAGGAAGCCCCAGGCACAGGCTGTCCTGCAGAGCTTCAGGGAAACTTCAGCTGGGCCACCACAGGCCCCAGAGGTCAGTCAGTGGCAGGCTGTGGTGGGGTAGTCTCTACTAAGCTCAGCTAGTTCAAGGAGAGCCCAAAGCTAACCCTGTGCACCGTCATTGCTCCTCCTTCTCCAGGGAGGAGTCTTTTAAGGGTGCCAACAAGGAGCTGAATTATTCTAAACT